TACTATAATATACACAAAGAATATCGGCCAATATATCGATATCTGCCTTTTTTTAACTCCCTAATATCGGTATCGGTCCCAAAAAACCCTTATCGGTCGGGCTCTAAAACAAATGCAGCCATAAGAGACTTCTTTCAAAAAGGTTAACCTAAACATACTGTACACTACTGTTCAAAAAATGTTAACACTTCACAACCTTCATTCATATTCATACCATGAGTTATTAACAGTGGTCAGTGAGCAGGTACTCACCACGGATGGCAGAGTGAAGGGGTTGGCTTTGGAATTGGGGAGTGGTGAGCCAGCTATCGCCATGGCAACAGACTGGCTGATGGTGCCGTTGTCTGGGTCGCTATCGTCGACGAGCACCGAGGCGTGACGTACACGCTGTGGGGACGTGTCTGGGACACACAAAGGTGGAGAGATACAGATCTCGGCTGAAATGGTTCTTTTGTTCAGTTTTTAATGACTGTGGAGCACTGACCTTTAAAAGATTATTCAACTCATAAACAGAGAGTTTATATAAATAACCGCAGAGATAAGCAGTCTGCTCTACTGTGGGCGCTCTGCTCACAGGGTCTCACTAACCGGTGAAGTCGTGAAGCTGGGCCAGCGTCTCCATGACGATGGGGATGAGTGGCAGGTAGAGCTGGGCGATGTGCGAGCGGACCTGGGGGTCTGTGTAGCGGGGGTCCGCGTCGTGACTGCACAGCAGAGAATGCAGCGCACTAATGGCCTTCTTGTGTAGGAAGAACACACTGAGAAAGAGGTGTGAGATGTGATTTGAGGTGTTGGAATCTATGCATTTTTAAAGTCCCATTTATAAAAGCAGGGTCCCATTTATAAAAGTTTTTTTCTGTGCTAATTTAAAGGGATAGTTCACTCAAAAATGAAAAATACTGCTTGATTTACTCACCCTCAAGCCATACTAGGTGTGTATGACTTCTTTCAGACGAATATAATCAGTTATATAAAAAAATGTCCTGGCTCCTCCAAGCTTTATAATAGCAATGAATGGGGGTCGAGATTTTGAAGCCCAATAAAGTGCGTCCATCCATCATAAAAGTGCTTTACACATTCACTTCAGAAGGCCTTTATTAACCCCCCGGAGCCGTGTGGAGCACTTTTTATGATGGATGTATGCACTTTATTTTGCTTCAAAATCTCGACCCCCATTCACTGCCATTATAAAGCTTGGAGTAGCCATGACATTTTTTAATAGAACTCTGATTGTATTCGTCTGAAAGAAGAAAGTCATATTCTCCTGGGATGGCTGGAGGGTGAGTAAATCATGGGCTAATTTTCAGTTTTGGGTGAACTATCACTTTAAGGGTGAAATATGAAACTAAATGGCTTAAAAAATATGCTAATACTTCAAAAATTTCAAGTACTGTATCATTTATTTGTAATTATTTTTTTCCATAGCTTGTAATTGATCACACACTGTTTACTTGGAAAATTGACAGAAAAAAGACTGAGAAATACTTGAAGGATACATGTTATTGTTTTTATTCAATACCATTAATATTTATATTAATATTTAAAATTTTTAAACAAAGGAGTGTTCTCATCATCAGCATATTTCCTGAGGCTGGAATACACTAAAACAGATTTTATTTGAGCAGATTTAGAAACACTAGACACCACACACATGTCGACTTTGTAAATGGTTACAGAGAAAAATTGAGCCTCATACACAAAACGACTCGCATAGAACAATATATGTTCTAAAATTGTCTCAAAATACCAAGCATGATTGATATCCTCCAACTGGATGGAATCATAGTCTGAAGCTAAAAGTAAAAATCATAGACTGTGTTCATTATACACTACGTGATTTTTCTGTGAAATCTGTCAACTGCTCAAAATCTGCAGACTGACTCTGACTTTTGGCAACTAGCATTGACTCCAGATTCCAAATCGGGACAAAAACATCAGGAAAAACTCATGTACAGTAATGTATTGCAGCCTTTAAATATGATATCGAAATTGGCATTGTGAACAATGATATTTCACCATTATTTCTACTGATTTCTACAATTCTGGGAATTGTTACGAACACATTTGTTTAATTGTGAATACTATAAATCAGTACTTTGACCATAAGATGAAAGCAATCAGCTACTGACATAAGCTGGAATGTCTATATGTGTCTCCCTAGTAAAATACTTGAGTGTGTGAGCGTAAGAGCGTTTCTCACCCCTCTCCATCTGGCTCCAGGATGAGTGACAGCTCAGCCAACAGCAGACCAGAAAGAAAATGCTGTTGGCGGAATGGCACCGACAGTTCGAACATGCTGACCACACCCTGATCCTGAACATGACAGGAGAACGCTGAACTCTACAAGAGAACACACAGAAAATGCCTGCTTCAGCTCTGCCATAATAAAGTGACGTGCAATTATTCCCTAAGAGGATTCCACTGAGTGTGTCCAGCTTGATATAATGTGGCTGTATGGCAGACAGTCAGCAGACAGAAACATAACATCCATCATGACAGGATTTAAACTCTACAGTGAGAAACACTCCAACGCACAATTACAAACAAATCAGGAAACTCTACAGCACTGACACTAGATTTCTGTGGAGTATGAGAATGTGGTCAGTTTATATACACATTTGGAGAAGAGCACTCGGTCTAATCCACCCAAGAAAGCATGAACATCCAGCTCTCAAGAGTGGAACAAAACAAACATGCAATTATTGCCAAATTCCACAAAACGGAACTAGTCAAGCTGGAGAAGTAAATCTGCCTAATTCTAATTAACATCCCCCACACATAATCACAGTCTGAGGTGAAGAATTAAATGAACGTTCAGGGATAGATACAAGTTTCTTGACCAGCTAATCAGCATAACTAAAGACTGGAGTAATGGCTGTGAACAAATATGTTTTTAACTATTTATTTTTTTTAATATATATATATATATATATATCAATGGTCACCGCCAATGGTTTGGTTACCAACATTCTTCAAAATATCTTCTTTTATGACAGAAACTCATACAGGTTTGGAACAACTTGAGGTAAAATACTAAATGTTGACAGGATTTTCTTTTTGGGTGAACTATCACTTTAAATGTGTTAAGACAGTCACAAAACTACGCACTCTCAGTACAATTAAGATGCCTTTTATTTCATTAATATATTACCTGCAAGTACAGTTTTATATATATATATATATATACTATTAAAAAAAAGAAGTACACTACAAGTGCACTTTCGGAAGAATTAAGCACACTTCTTTAACAAGAGGTAAAAACTAAAAATTTTGGAATAAACTTGCAATAAATATCCTTTTTGATTCAGTTACATAATTCACAATGCTTCGTGAGATCAGTAGTTCATTAATTCAGATTTAAATTTTAAATAGCATATTATTCAAAAATATTTAAAAAATATTTTCAAACTTCTGAACTGTGGTGTATTATTCTGGAAAAAGTAAAAAAGCTTAATAGATAATTACATAATTTCCCTGCATGTCATTTCCCTTGTATTGATTGTGCGAATGTGGTCATGAAATTCATGTGGTCATGAAGGTCTAGATATAATTAAGTCAAACAGAATCTGCACCCTACACAGAAAGCCCCGTACATTTATGATAACAACAATTTCTGTTTTTGTAAAAAACTAAGCCAAAAGTCAAGCTATTTTCTGTGATAGCTTGACTTGTAGCTGAAACATTCATTTAAGAGTAACCGAAAGTGAGCTAGTATGAAAGACTGTGTTAGTTTGTGTGTGTGTGTGTGTGTACCTGAGAGGTGGTGGAGGATGTGGAGGGTGAGGGGGACGCGGGGGGACTGAGGGTGGCGCAGGGCAGGTTCAGGGTGACGTAGTGCTCGTGACTGCAGACGATCCGTATGAAGTCCATCCTCAGCGCTGTCAGAGAGCTGGGGCTCTGCGCTGTGTGGAGCTTATTATTAATCTGAAGACCGAAATGCACCAAACTGTCATCTGTCATGAAAGTTTCTAGGGTGAATTCACAGCTGCACCTCACCTCTGCATGTGTCTTGTTCACTAAACCACTTGCAATCCATGTAAACCAGGCACTATGTGCACTAGTGTGCTTTTTACATTTTGTGTGTACAAAGTCTAGTGATCGTGGCAGCAGAAACTCATCAAATGATGATAAAACTATGGATAAGAGCATCATATATTCAGACTACACTACTCAAACACACTGAAAGCATTTTAAAATGTGTGCTTCTGTGTTTGTGCACGCACCTGTTTATAATACGAGCGGATGAGGTTGAAAACAAAGCCTCTGTCCATGAGAGACAGCAGGTCATTGAGGAAAAAGGCCAAGCTGCTGTTTAACCTCTCCACTAGCTCGACATCCTGAAATGCACACAGATATTGGTTCAGACAAAGATAAGCATGCATCCTGTTGATTCATAACAAGAGTAAACAGTCATAAAACAGGGTATTAACCACCATAAAGTCTCACACATCCCCTTATCTACATGAGGTCTGTGTTCAGTAAAATGAGATCTGCTGCTCTTTTACCTTGTGATATCTGCTGGCTATGTCTGCACTGATGGCACACACTAAGGCAGCGATGTCGTCCACAAAGCGGTCTGGGAAGCGCTGGCGTCGGGGCATGTCCAGGCGTGAGGACAGGAACAGATGATGGGACATGCTCTTCACCTGTTATCACACACAGAAAAATGAGTGATACCATCTGAATCTTTGATTCTGCCTTAAAAACTCACCAAACACAAGGTTTTTCAAAACCTGCATGTCTAGAAATTATAGAAATAATTCAGTCAAACTATATGTGGGACTATTAACCCTTAAATGCATGAATGTTTCGCCAATCATTATTACATATTCGGGTCTTTAGCGACCCGGACCTATATATCCAGCACGGATGGATCTCTAACTGCTGAAATAGCAAAAAAATATCTTGATATTTTAAGAACAATTACTGAAGAATTAAATAAAGCATATTTCGTTTCCTTTTGAAACTTAAAAGGGTTCAATTTGAGCAGATGATATTACCATCGCTGTCATCGTCAGAGCCACTTCCACAGTACATTCAGCATCTGCCTCATATTCACAATCTCAACCATATTCTCAAAACTATCGTTTTCAATGACTTCATATTCAATATTTTGATCACTGGCAGCATATTCACAACATCCAGAATCAAATGGCAGTGACGTTTATATTTCTTTGCGTATAGTAATTGCTCTGCAGTAAAGCCATTCAAAACCAGTTCAATTTTTGTTTGTTTGTTTGTTTTATGCCTGCGGTAATTATGAGTGAAACATCACGACATCGTGTATCAAACAGTGCCACCTTGAGGAAAAAAGATGCACTGCACATATTGAGTCATCAGATATGTAAATATAGTTGCGCAGGAAAAAATACTTACACATTTACATACCTCAGGTCTCTAGCGACCCTATACACTTTTTACAAAAAATGAATCAGAAAACAGGCATTCTTTTATATTTTGCATGTTATATTGTTATATTGTTTATAATGAACAGATCTAAGAAAAATCTAATAGGAATACTAAGAAAGTTGATGTCTAACTTTAAAAAATGAAGGAGAGAGAGGGTAGAGAACGATGTCCCGGGTCGCTAAAGACCCGAGGTATGCATTTAAGGGTTAAAGGGACAGCTCACTCAAAAAAAAAAATTCTACATTTTTTATTGACAAGATGCTAAGTAAATGACAGCATTTTTATTATTTTGGTTGAACTAGCCCTTTAATTAAAAATTAAAAGACAGTTAAGAGACTATTTATATTGTTCAGAGCTCAAAAATAGTCAACTGTGCGCACATCATAAGCAAATTCTCGTTTTACTATATTGTAAGCACAATTTAATAGCTCATTCCTATCGTTTTACGTAAATTGTGTGCACAATATAAGTAGTTTGCTCTGATTTGGTTTAACTAAAACGTAGCCACGATTTAGTAAAACGAGGGACCAAATGATTACCTTGTGCACAAGGTTTACTTAAAACGAGGGAATAAATTACTATATCATGCGCACAATTTAGTAAAACAAGTTTTTTTTAATTACGTTGTGTGGAAGATTTTCAATTTTTTCCTCAATGTCATGGCTCCGTAATATTCAGTAATCTTATCGATTTGACTGCACTAACTCTACCAGATGAGAATCGAATTGAGCTGGAAAATGGCACTAAACTTGCAACAAAGACACTGTTACTGAACTGACATTGACTTGAGCTGAATAATGGTACTATTGTCTTCTGTAGAGCTGCTTTATAATTGAATTGAGTTCATTTCGTTTCATGCAATGAACTTTGCAACAGTGACACTGATATTGAACTAAAGTAGAGCTGCTTTTTTATTTTTATAACATCAACACTTAATACCCGTTTTATTATTATGAAGCTGCTCTGAAACAATCTGTATCGTATGAAGTGCTACAGAAATAAGTATGGCTTGACTTTAGTTATTGATGTACAGTACAGTAAATGTAAAAGGTTGGAGGCCTACTGACCATGAGCTGGAAGAAGAACCAGGCCTGCTGTAGAGACGCCTCTCTCACGGTACTGGTGCTCACCACCCACTGGAGAGCCAGCTCTTCATGAAGTAACTGAACGCAGAGAGCATTACAAAAGTAAGTATATTACAAAATATCCATACAGAACACAACCACACACATGCACACACACAATGAAGGCAGACTACTTTGAAATAGTAGTAATATGTGTGCATGAACAAGATGAAGTGGCTCAATGAATGGGTGAGTACATAAATGAGCGAATGAAGGAACGAATGAATAGGAGAGTGCACGGGTGAGTAAATGAGCATGTGCTCTACCTTCTTGGCGATCTGCCTGGAGGGAGGACAGAGAATGGAGGCAGTCTCGATGAAGGCAGACATGCGATTACAGGCACGCTCACTAGCCTGTAGACCAGTGGGTGAACACAGAGCAATGGTGGTGGTGATGATGATGATGACAATGAAGATGATGATGAAGAATGGAAGACAGAAAGATAAGAAGAAAAAAAACGAGGGAAGAGGGATAAGACAATGCCTGCGACATACACCAATCCAGATCCTTTTACAAATTTAAAATAATGAAACGTAATCCATGCTATGTTAGGGATAATGTACAGTCACCCGGTCATCAATGCAAAATAAACCCTGACAGCATGACTGAGGTCTTGTACAATCCTTAAGGGGTTTATTTTGTGGTTACCCAACTTATTACATGGCTATGCACCAAATAAATAAAATAATGTAAGGGAGGATCTAATCATATTGAGGTGACATTGAAGTAGTTAATTGCATTGGGTGACGCACTGCATATGTAACCTAGGTTTTGTTGCTCCATCACTGCAAGAGGCATGTAATGTTGTTGGTATTGTTGGTAACTAGACTTCTACCAAGTTTCTCCTGACTGACAGGCAAGAGAAGTACAGCACACGAAGGCAAGAGAGAAGAGTTGATTGATGAAAAGGAGGAGGCATGAACGCAACTTTCTACACAAATGCGCACACATCCTCAGACACAGACAAACATACATAAAAATAAAGCCAAATGGACAGCAGCAGAAGAGCTGGCAGAAGATTACGGAGTATGATTACAGAAGTAATACCAGAGTGAAGGCAATAAGAGCATACAGGATGACATGGTGTAGGGCTGGAATATGGACTTAGCATTTTAGCATATAAAAGTTGAGAAAGGGGAATTAGGGTGTAGGGGACAGTAAAATAAATTTGGGTAGAGTTTTTGGTACACTAACAAGTCATGTTGGGTTAAGGGTTTGAGACAGTGACAAGTAAAGACAGGGTTAAGGGTTTGAGAGTAACATGCAATGTTAGGGTTAATTAAGACAGTAACAAGTAATGTTACTGTTAAGGATTTGAGACAGTAACAAGTAATGTTAGGGTTAAAGGTTTGAGACAGTGATAATGAAACTTATGGTTAAATGTTTGAGACAGTAAAAAGTATTGTTAGGGTTAAAAGTTTGAGACAGTAATATGTAATGTAAAGGTTAACGTGTTCAGACAGTATTAAGTAATGATAATGTTAAAAGTTTAAAATAGTAATAAGTAATGTAAGGGTTAAAGGATTAAGACAGTGATAAGAATGTTACCGTTTAAAGTTTAGAATTGTAACAAGTAAAGTAAGGGTTAAGAGTTTGAGATAGTAACAAGTAATGTTAGAGTTAGAGGTTTGAGACAGTAACAAGTAATGCTAGGGTTAAAGGTTTGAGACAATAACTAGTAATGTTAGGGTTAAAGGTTTAAGACAGTGATAAGGAATGTTACTGTTAAAAGTTTAAAATAGTAACAAGTAATGTAAGGGTTAAGAGTTTCAGACAGTAACAAGTAATGTTAGGGTTAAAGGTTTGAGATGGTAACAAGCTGCACTGAGACAGAGACCGTAACTGGTCATGTTAGGTTGTATGTTTTCAGAGAATAAAAGGTTATATTAGGTTGTAGAGATTGAGGTGGTTATGAGGAGTAAAAGGGTCTGAGGCAGCTACAGGTTATATTCGGGTGTATGGTTTGAGGCAGTAGGGAGGGACATTAGGGTGTAGGTTTGATTGGCACCTGCTTGAGCTCACAGCTGGAGTTGAGGTTCCGACGGAGCACTGCCCTTGAGCACCCTGGAGCGTAAGCAGAGTTTACCCAGGAATGTGAGCGGTCTATCCCCTGCTTATCCACCGACGACACAAACACACACCACAGTGCAACACAGGGGAGGCAGAACAGCCACATACAGGTGCCACAGGGAGGGGACGAAGTGCAGGAACAAGAATTAATTTAGAGGCGGGTGGGGGACAATCAGGGCACAGTGAAGGAGGGGAGAGGGTAGGAACACCAGTACCATAGCAAAAACAGCACAATTATTAGCAGAGCAATCAACAGCTAGCACAGGAAACATCTCACAGTCAATCTCTGAACCTGCAGCTCCAGCACAAGACAGTAAGAGAAAAACTATTTAACGATTTTGATGAATCTGCTAATGTTTTTTTTTTTTCAATGCAACATTTTTCAGCATTTATTTTTTTCATAGAAATAGCTTTGTTTTGTGATGTGATGTCACTGTGATTAGTTAATCCAATTTGTTGTAAAATAACTTTACTATTAGATTCTATTTGATTGATTAGTTTTCCCCCAGTTTTTCACCAAAATAAGGGAAAACAGGAACTGACTGTTTAAAAGACAACAACAATAACAGCAGCTATCACTTAAAGTGCTTCTTTTAATACTCAGTTCCTTTTAGCTGCATAGGCAAGGAAGAAATAATATAGGACAGAGTGGCCACACTGCAGTAACAACCAATCAGAAGCCAGAGGAAGAGCCGCCCACCTTGCTGCCGATGATTCTCTGCACCTCCTCGTCAGGGGTGGCTGGAGTTGAGGCCAGGTCAGGGTTGGAGTTACTCAGGCTCTTGGAGCGGGACAAGAGCAGGCTGCTGGGTCTTGCCGTTGCCCTAGAGAGCGTGGCATACTGGATGGGGAGATCATACGATGCGGCTCCCACTGAAGAAGGAAGTGAGACGCACTCAGTGCATGAACTTAAATAAGCATTCTGCTCTTGAGATCCAATGAGAGGGAGTATAAATGCGAATAAAGCATTTACCACAATACATAAACACTGAGCCCCAGAGAAATGAATCAGCACAGTTTAAAGGTTAAACAACGTTTACAGTTTTAGCAACGATTCAATAACTCTACGGTACACAAAAGGGCATTTTCAAGATTTCAAGTTCACCCAAAATGAACATTTCGTCATCATTTAGTCACCTCCAAATTATTCTAAACCCTGATTATTTTATTTCTTCCTTGCATTTTGTATCTCTCAAATCTCACACTTTAAAGGGTTAGTTCACCCAAAAATGAAAATTCAGAATCAGAATCAGAATGAGCTTTATTGCCAGGTATGTTTACACATACGAGGAATTTGTTTTCGTGACAGAAGCTTCCACAGTGTAACAGAATGACAGTGACAGAACAAAAAAACACAGATAATAAGAAAAAAAATAAAAAATAAAATAAATAAAAAATAGAACAAGTAAAATAAGGAATAAAAAATATACAAATCGACAATCGACAATTGTATGTCCAGGTATAGAACAATAGACAGTTGTATGTACAGGTATATTATGTGCAAATTGAAATATAGACTGAGTATGTGTGTTAGATAAATAAGTGTATGAGTGAATAAATAGTGTGTGTTCCACAGTTATTGTCAAGTGTTCATGAGAGGCCTGAGGGAAGAAACTGTGCCTGTGGAACACAAATTAAGATATTTTTGATGAAATCCGAGAACTTTCTGAACCTCCATAGACAGCAACGCAACAGACACGTTCAAGGCCAAAAAATGTAGTAAGGACTATGTAAATTAGTCCATGTGACATCAGTGAATGAGAATGAGAATATTTTTTGTGAAAACAAGAATAAAGACTTTATTCAACAATTTCTTGAATGTGGTAGTTGTGTTGCTCTTTATGAAGGGTCAGAAATATCTTAATTTGTGCTCTGAAGATGAACGAAGGTCTTACAGGTCTGGAACGACATGAGAGTAATTAATGACAGAATTTTAATTTTTGGGTGAACTATCCCTTTAACATCGAGCTGTATTTCTCACTCACCAGCAGGGGGAGATACAGGCTCTGTTGTGGGCAGGTGGAAGCAGTAGTGGATATAGGAGGACAGCAGACTGTTGCGGCCATGATGGTCCTGGTTTCCCTCCAGGTTCTTATGGATCTGGTTTACCAGCAGGGCCATGGCTTCAAAAGCAGCACGGCCAAGATTTACTGGATTAGAAGGAAAGAGAGGAAATGGATTACAAAAGGAAAAATTATGTGTAACAATAATATTAGAGACCAATTCCAGTGTTGCTAACCGATCTGTCCTGCTATGACAGGAGGGTGTACGATTAGCAATATGAGCTTGCTCATCAGTTGATGCAGGAAGCGCACACAAGTGTCCAGCAGTGCCCCTTTCAGAGCCCCCATGCTGGCTTTCAGCTCCGCCTCCACGTTTGCCTCAGTGATTATAACATCCTTCAGCCGGAAAGGGAAGGAGTACTCCTCCAGAACATACACAAGTGTGAAGAACTTATCCAGGTGTGGATCCTACACACATTAAGTGAGGCATGTATGTGAATGCACTTTTGTAGAAATGTGTTCAATCAAATTTTTTTTTTCATTACCTGCGTGTGAACTGAAGAGGCTGCCTTCACCTCTACATTAAAGACTCCTTTGTGGTTGTCCACCCATTTCATCCCTGGTAGCTGTACCTGAAACACACACAGGCCACAACATATTCTGAGCACATGTTCACATTCCTCCTCAGATATTACTGCCAAGTAGATGTTGCAATTCCTCCCTAAATCATTATCTGTAACTTGGAAAATTAGGTTGCCTGATTAAAACATTGTTTGCTTGAAATTACCTATTCGCCCATTCTCAATCCAAAGGGTTCCCACACCTTTTGTCCCAAAAATTTCCATTTCTTCATCATGATTTTTCCAGTCGTTCATGATTTTTTTTAATAAGGATAAATTGGATTGAACCTGGGTTCCCCTTTCATGCTGAATAAGAACTGTAGCTTTAGACTAACTAAAATCTCTGTTGAACAGCATTTCTCTGTTGTGCCTGTGCCCATGGCTGAACTGATTGCGCTACAGCATGAATCTACGAATCCTACCAAGGGTTAGACTTGGCTCATAAATATTATTGATTACATAATGTGACACTTGCTCAGTAGGCCTAAGTGAATTACTAAAAGGAAGACTCATGAATATTATACGGGACATTTGACTGAAAGCCCCAAGAGTGTCATAAAGCATAGCCTTTGTCATGGTAAAATTCATAATCTCTTCTCAAATGTTGAGTTGTTACTTGCAATATTACTTGTCACTTGCAAAAAAATTGGCATCATTTTATGTTTTATGATGGACTTGGTATAGGGGAGACCAGCGGCTGAATTTCTTTAGTCATAAATAAGCTAGAATTATGACATGCTTCTCTCTGAAGCATGGAGTGAAGTGATTTTACTTCATAGGATATAAAAAATGGTTTTAAGAAAAATTATTTTGATGTCAAATATGAAATATGACTGCGTCTCATATGTTTTTAAAAGCAGTCTGTGTGAATGGCACTTCGGCTCTTTGGATTAAGCAATGCATAAATACATGATAAATTATGGAAAAAAACATACAATTACAGTTGCCCCGTCTGCCCTTCTTTTGACATCTTTAACTTCCACACACATTCTCTCAAACACAACCACTAAGCATCACAAACATCCAGTTCAGGATAAGTCTCTCACGTCAGGAGTGAGGACTGAGTAGCTGGGTGGAGGTTTCTCCACAGAGACGGGCAGACTGAAGGAGCCGGTGCGCAGGCGGCCGTGCTGCATGAGGGGGATCCACTGCAAAAAACAACAGGAACTATGATTAACCTGCACAGCCTACATGCAGTTCAAAAACATTAATGTGCTATATATGGCCTACAATCACATGATGCTACAACTTCAAAAGTGTCATAAGGAGAATCAGGGGAGGTGCTACTGAATGCCAGCAGGGAAAGAGAGTGCGTGGCAGGTGACGAATAAGGACGATCCAGGTGTCTCTGAGGGGGGGCAGGGTCACATGGAAGTGAGCGTTTTATCAGGTAGCCTGGAGCGCTTCTCCAGCGCTGCGGGAGTGTGACTGTCAGGAGAGGATAGAGAGGAAGAGGAAAAGAGATGGGGTCCTTCTCTCACCGTGTAGCCCACCGGTGTCTCCAAGGGGGTATTCTGCTTGGGCTGGCAGCTGATGTGATAGAAGGTGAAGAGCAGGTGGTGGTTGTCGGTGAGGTTGGCGGGAATCTTCATCTTTACCTCCTCATAGAACTCCGGGGACCTGCAGAGATGGAGAGAGGAGATTGAAAAAGGCTGTAGTGGTTTTCAACTAGGGGCCAGGACCCACTAGAGAGCCTCGGCAAACTTCCAAGGTGGCCACTGGATCACTTTAAATTATTTTAGTTTTTTAAAATATAATAAAAAAAGTTTAAATTATTAGTTTGTTTTAATATAATAATAATAATAGTAATAAATAAATCATTATTTTTACTATAATAAATAGTGCTGTCAAAATTAGCATGTTAACGCAGGCTTCATGACATTTATTATAATGGGTTTATGTGAAGATTGTTTTAAAGGGGTCATATGATGCTGCTAAAAAGAACATTATTTTGTGTATTTGGTGTAATGAAATGTGTTTATGCGGTTTAAAGTTAAAAAAACACATTATTTTCCACATACTGTACATTATTGTTTCTCCTCTATGCCCCGCCGGATTTGAGACTTTAGTCTTTGCAACTTTACAGATCTTCTTTATGCACCAAGAGCTTGTAACACTCTAAAGAGAAAGGAAAAAATGAAATCGCATCATATGACCCCTTTAAGTTCACTTAAATTAGAAGTTGTTATTTTTTTAAGTCTAATTTAAGTTAAATTTGATAGCTCTCAATTATACTGTAATGCTGAATGGCTATAGTCAATGGTTAAAGGTGCAATAGGTGCTTGTCTTCAGAAACATTTTGTTACGCTGGTTGAAAATCTCTTCACATCACGATAGCAATCATTAAGTTAAGTGGTCTAAATGTATTTATCTGTAT